TAATGATTTTTTTTATCATTAAACATTGAAAATGTTGCTTCTGTTTACATTCAATTTTTATGACAATAAAGATAAATTTGGAGATCATTTTTTTCTAATTTTCAAAATAAATTTTAAAATAAGTAGAAAAGCATTTTAATGTCTTTATAAAAGTCATAAATAATATTTTTCTTTAAAAATAAGTATCAGTGTCATGCAATTTAAATATCTACAACTTGAAATATGGTGAAATCAATACTCTTATATATGTTCTGAACAAACCAAATCTACTTCTTTTCTTCATGATACATTTTGAATTTGTTCATAATCTCTTCATGAAAAGTGTAGATTTATGTTTATTTTTTTCAAAGATACAAAGTCACCTCAATCAAACAAATTGTAACCCAAATATAGAAAAAATGTTGAAGTTTGAATTCAAAATTTAAAGTTTTTCCTGTCACGTTACATTCAAAATCTAAGAAGATGACTTTCTGTTCATTCCGAATTTTATTGAGTATTTTCTCGAGATGGTTAATAACATTTATATTGTCGTTCGTCTCAATGAAACTCGTTTATCTAAAATTTTATTAGAAAATCTATTACCACAAGATTCATAATCAATATATAACTTTTATTACTTATAAATATTATTTATTTTTTCTATTTCTATCAAATATAAGACTTTCAGGTGGCACTTCAACTTTCAACCTATTTTCCATCCAAAATCCAAAAGTATTTATCTATTCCATAACTCCTTTCATTCATTGGGTTATTTGTATATTGTTCATATTTCATCATTTGTCACTTCATTTCCATCAAATCTGAAAAACCATTCATCTTTTCCTTTTACAGAACGAATGTAATTCCCATTCTACCAATCTATACAGTTTCTCTCTTACATATATTTTTTTTTAACTAAAAAAAGAGAAGAAATAGTAATTAGTGATAATCTTAGAGGGATTGTGGGCCAAAGCAAGTTGCCTTAACTGGGTAATATAGTACAGGGCCTTGTACATATATAAAACAAGGAAGAAAAAGAGATTGCACGCTTCCAATATCCAACCAAAAGTTGAAGCAAATAATATAAACACACACAAGACAAGGGTGCATAGAGAGATGGAGAGGCACATCATGATTTGGTGAGTGCATGTGGCACGCCATACCTCCCATGCAGATAACAGCATCATTCTATGCTTTATTTTTGCCATAGAGGGTGTAGACAAGGAAGTGGACCATTGCCTAGCTACTTGGGACAAACCAAAAAACATACATCAATTATTTTTGTTCTTTGGGAGGGCATTACCATTGTAATGTACCGAGGAGAGAAAGAACAAATATAGCCCTAGGTTTCATTTTCTTTTTCCTTTTACCATTTTTCACTCAAGACTATAGCCTAAACTTTAGGCTACTTCCACCTTGTTTTCATCCTTACCTTACCTGCATTATGTTCTGAAAATAATACTTACAGTGACTTAAACATGACAACACATATTCAGATCGAAAGTAAAATATAAACTGTGTTCTTAATATACGATGAGTAGCCCCAACCACTCATGTACTCAGTTTATAGAATTCTATTTATCATACAATGTCGACTTAGAACGTATATGATGACATCGGATATAATTCATAATGTCAGTTTGATAATTACGTAAATTAGAATCATGTTGTTGTAATATAAAAAGTACATTTGATACAATGTATATGATCACATCTTCAACATCAAGATGAGGTAAAAAACGAGACTTAACCATACATTACCTAATATTACATCTAAGCATGTTTACTTCTCCGCATATTAATTAAAGAGTACATTAAACTTTTAACGTATCATATATATATATAATTTGTTCTTTGCTTATTTTTCAAAATGTTAGTTATTGATAATTATAGTAATTATCAAATACTATAAATTTTATTAAAAGCAATTTTCACTTTTGATTTAGAATTTTTTTATTATTATTATTATTATTATTATTATTATTATTATCATTATTGTTTACCAATAGAATTTTCCAGTCCACGCCAGATATTGCAAAATTCATATAGTGAATTTAATAACATTAAATACAATTTTTTCATAAATCTAATTACAGATTAAGTCTTTATCAAGTTTAAAGGTTCAACTCGTTATGTCTACTTTTTCTGGAAGAGTATTGAATTTAAAAGTGTGTGGTACGTTAAAAAAAAAAAAAAAACCCAAATTCGGTATGAAAATTATAATTTTATAAAAAGGAGAATGTGAAAGTTAATTAAACACAAACGGTATTTTTTTATTCAACACAAAAAGGTCTTAAAATCAATTCATATAACATTCTGCTATATAAAGCGCGTTTAGACATCAAAGGAGCCCAGTTTCTGATGGGTCTTAATATTATGTGCCTGACCGAACAGAAGAACTACGGCCCAAAACTATTGTTCATACATCATATTATGTAACCTATATTTATCTAAAAAAATAATATTATTTTTCATAAACATTATGGAATGAGTTTTTAAAAATATTTTAGATTAATCTTTTCAGAATATATATATATATATATATATATATATATATATATATAGAGAGAGAGAGAGAGAGATTTTAAAAATGTCAATCCAGAATATTTTTGAAAAATTTATTTTGAAAATTTTTTAGAAGAATGAATCCAGAATAATAATATATATATTGTGTTTTGGATTAAACTATCCAAAATATTAAAAGATTATATTTTTGAAGTTTTAAAATATGAATCAAGAAAATTTTTAAAATAATAAATCCGAAAGTGTTATAAAAAACTTTTAGATCAGGCTGAAATCTTTTCAAATTGAAGAATCTAGAATAATGGTTGATAAAACAAATAACGTTCTGAATACATTGATATGGTAAATTTTTAAATAGATGTTATTATTTGTTTTTGCCTTCCAGCTGTTAGTTGCCCTCCCCTCTCTCAACATCAAAAAATATTTGAATTAAGACAATAATTGATTATATTTTACATCCACTTTTTTATTTATTTTATTATTTTTCTTTTTTACTTTACCATCAAGTAAAACTTGCGAAATTTTGGTGTATCTCCCAGCATTCCCTCACATTTTTTTTATACGTGATTTAATAAGGGATCATTTATTTCATAATCATTAACTACTAATATCTAAGATTATTAAAGTTGATTGTTTTCTTATAAATTATGAAATATTTAATTCAATATTTAAAACAAATATTAATTTATATACTATAATATTATTATATTTTTAGTTGATTTTGAATTTTAACATATACCTTCTGCTAAAAAAAAACATAATTTTAAAATATGAAAAACACAAAGAGAGCATTATAATTTGTAGATAAAGATGATAAAATAAGTCTCTTAAATTCGTTTTTGGTATGTTAAAGCTGAAATAAAGTGTAGTTCACTTGTCATATTACAAATCATTGCTTGTTCTACATAAAGGAGATATGGAGAATACTTATCTGGCTTACGAATTTTTATATATTTAAAATATATTTTTAATTATTTAAATATCTTTTAAGTTTCTCATTAATGAATATATTTTATTAATTAAGTAAAAAAATTATTATATTTATAAATTAAAATACTCAATTAAATATATAATTTAAACTTAATTTTTTAATATTTATGATTTAAATTTTATATTATAATATATTTATATATTAAAACAAATACTCCATTTATTTCTAAATATATAACGTTTTGATAGATAAATTTTATTTTAAAATATATGTCGATTGTATACCCTTATTTTTTTACCAAGTATACCCTTATTTTTGAAAGGTTTAAAAAGAATAAAAATAAAATTTTTATGATATTTTAAATGAATTATAAGTTGCACTTGATTACATTGGTGTGTCATGAAGGTGAATTAGAATTATATCAACCAGACAATTTTTTATTTTCAACTTTTTTTTAAGTTGAGCACCTTCACTTTCCTTTTCTATATTTGTGATTTAATTTAAATCTATACTTTTGAAGTTAAGATGCATAATATACAGAGAAAAACTAAAAATGATATTAACTTTTTTTGGTGGAAAACAAATTTTTTTCCATAATTTTCAAATCAAAATTGTTTTGTGGTAAATTTTCAAGATTGAAAAAAAAAATCTTATTTTTAATAAAATAAGAAAATGTTTCAAGTTCTAAACTTCTAATGAATCTGTTTTTACAAGGAAAAAGAAGAAGAAGAAGAAACTGATACTTTATTATTGAGTATTTTTCTCTAATTTTAGTGGAGAGAGGATAATAAAATGAAAGTTACTAGAGAAGGTAAGGTATTATTGGAAAAATATTAAAAAAATTATTATGTTATAAAAGTTAATGTTTTTATTGGTTTGTGTATCTCTAAGCATTAAATGTTACATATTTTGAAGTAAAGGAGTAATATTATAAATTATTTTATTTTTATTTTAATATATAAAGATCTTTTAAAAAATAGATTCGATCATTAAATACATTAAATAAGAAAATGTTATATTTATTTATTATTTATTAATAATATATATTTGGTTTTCTAAAATTATTGGTGAAAATCTATCAACTAAAATTACTAATCAAGCCGTCAATTTGAAATGTTTAGGTTTAAATCGGGAATGGAGGTAGTTTTGTCTTTTCGTTATAGGGGTTTCATAGTAAACAGGGTGTGTGAAAAGTAGAACTCTCCAGCTACATCCATGTCCATCATCTTCATCATGTGCTTCGGTTAAGCCCAGGAAATGTGAACAAAGAGTAAGCCCATGCCAAAGAATAAAAGTGAAAAAGCCTTAATTATTCCTGTACGAGCAAAAATTCTGTAACGACCAACAAACAAGTTGCAGAAAAATAAAAAACAATATTGTTTGTTGTTGATTGGCTGAAGAACATGTGGCTATGTGGCACCAACGTGCCTTAGCGCCTTATCCAGCAACTGTAGTGTTGACAGTTGTGGTGGTCGTTTAAGAATTTTTAACCTGAAATCTTCACTTTACATCTCTCTATCCTCTCAGTCTCATAAAATCTTCATCCACAACAAGTGTTTCAGTAACCATGGCATCCACCACTCTATCCCCTACAACCCCTTCTCAGGTATCAAAAACAACAAAAACGTTCTTTTTGTAATATTTTCTCTAAAATGTGTAGCATAAGCATGGTGTTTTTGAGTTAACAAGGGACTACATGCTTTGTGATTTCAGCTATGCTCCGGAAAGAGTGGGATTTTCTGCCCCTCACAGGCACTTCTTGTGAAACCAATGAAGAGGCAGATGATGGGGAAGAACAAGGGAATGAGAATTGCTTGCCAGGCCACCAGCATTTCTGCTGATAGAGTCCCTGACATGGGCAAAAGAAAGTTAATGAATCTGCTTCTTCTTGGAACTATTGCACTCCCTTCTGCTGGAATGCTTTATCCCTACACCTTCTTCTTCGTTCCTCCAGGGTAAGTTTTGTTTTCATGACCCTCTCCGTTCTTCTTCTTAAACATTCAATTGAACCCTCTCTCTGTTGTGTAAGTATTAAACTAAATGAATTTACTTTTTATTTGTGTGTGATGGGGGATTAGCAATACTGATCCTACATGACTATTTACTTGTTCAATTGTGTGTCAATTTAATCATTTCAGGATCTCTGTTCTTGTTTAACTATTACAGTTCTAGTGCATGCCTCCTGGTTTTAGTCCTTGTATAATTTCAGATTCCTGGTTTTAGTCCTTTTAAAAACTAACATGGTAACATTTTAAACCATTAAGGAACTAATTTAGTAACCAAAATTCAAGGACTAATGTGGTGCCGAGTGTAAATTTGCAGAAATAAGTTTAGACTACACTCTAGTCATAATATGAATTCTAGCAAACTGGTGTTGATAGTTTCTCTTGCACTAACTGGATCATCAGCTCTGGGGATCCTTTTGTGTGATGGTACTTCCATCAGAAGCTTTTTTGTCAAACCTTGAATAATTAGCTTCTGCTTTGCTAGATGTGCACCTTCTTCTTCAATGATTGCACTACTACTTGAACCTAATTCCTGCATCGTATTCTTGGTGTGATTATAATTGTAATGATTTCTGTTGTGGGAAGGAAGTTAACAATTCGTACATTCCTAACATTGGGGGAGAAGTACTGAATTAAGTATTTCTTACAGTTTGGAATTTTGCTCAGGTCTTCAGTGTTGCATTCTTGTCACATTAGTTTAAAATTTCTATCACAAAGAAATATATGAAGTTGGTGAGAAGGGGAAGAATTCTATCATAATGGTCATTACTTATTCATTGCATTTAGCATCCAAAAGTTTGATAATTAACTCTTAACCTTCCAACGTGCTGTTTTTATTATCAATCCAGTTTCTTCATCTAAACAAATCATTAACCCAACGTGGAAAAAAAATACAGTTCAGGTTCTTCAACTAGCGGTACTGTTGCCAAGGATGCCGTTGGAAATGATGTAATTGCAGAGAATTGGCTCAAGACACATGGACCTGGTGACCGAACACTTACACAGGGATTGAAGGTAAGTGTGCAGCTTTTTAGTGTTAGTGTTTTCATAGATCTTCGACAAGTTGCAGATGTTTTTCATTTAACATTGAAAGCAATATCTTCCCTAGACTGCTTCAAGTGTCATTTCTCAATTCTTCTTTCCCCAACAAAGTTAACTTGCTACACTATGCGAATTCTATCCAGTGACAGTGAAAGACAAATTTAAACTGTATTTCTAATCACACAAACCAAAGGTTTACCCTTTGTAGAAGTGAAAATGACTTCTCTCTCAATTTTCAACCAAAATAACTATTTTCACTTTTCCACAATTTGAATCCCACCCCCTTATTAACAGGGAGATCCTACCTATCTTGTGGTGGAGAAAGACAGAACCCTTGCAACATATGCAATTAACGCCGTGTGCACTCATCTCGGATGTGTCGTGCCATGGAATACAGCTGAGAAAAAGTTCATTTGTCCTTGTCATGGATCTCAGTACAATGACCAAGGAAGAGTTGTGAGAGGACCTGCTCCCTTGGTAAGTAAATTGGAAAACCATATTTTGAGATATTTGTGGCACTTTAACTTTTAGAAGGATAGTTTCAAGATATAGTCATGATTATTTTCCTAACAACCCAGTATTGTTCAAATTTCAATCTTTGCTCTACTTACCTGTTGCTAGAACAGTGATGAATATTTTTGTTGCTCTTGTTGGACAGTCTCTGGCATTAGCACATTGTGATATAGATGATGGGAAGGTGGTATTTGTTCCTTGGGTTGAAACAGATTTCAGAACTGATGAAGCTCCATGGTGGGCTTAGACCCCTTAAAGCCGTTTCTCTGTTGTCATATATATTTAAATATGAAATTCAAACAATATGTTTTGTATCAATGCATAAATATATTTTGTAATCAAATTCATATTCTGTGAACTGAAAGCTTTGATGGAAAGGAACCTGGACAAGTCACTTTTTTTTTTCTGAGTAATATCCCCTCTCCCATGATCTCTCTCTCTCTCTTATATTTAGAATCCTTGCTGTGCCTTTGTTCAACATTTATGGCTTTTGGGTAGCTGCTAATGTTATTATTGTTATATATAATCAATGTTTAGTTATAATGATACTTGGATTAATTTTCAAAACAGAACACTATTTTTATGTAATTATGCTGTTAGATATCTCATATCTATGATATGACCATATATATTATCAACCTAGGGTCCATATTCAATGTTAATCATTCTGATTAGTGTAATTACACTAATTATTTACTCTAATCTTGATTATAAATGTTACTTAAGGCTTCAAAGAGGAAAGTATTGTGTATGTTAGATGTTCTCGAGTTACCTCTATACCAAGATTTTTAAGTTTAGCATGTATCAAATTTCCAAGTAAAATAGAATTTGTAAGTCCAAACATTAAATCTTAAAAGACTAACACAATATTAAAAAGTATACTATTTTTGTTCAAAAATAGAGATACAGATATGTAAACAAGAGATAAAAATAAAGATAATAAAGTTAAAGATAGCATAAATATAAGAATAAAAGTATAGAGATAAAGAAATCATACTAAATTAAAGCTGAAGTAATTGTATGAACAATTAACCAACAAATTGAAAAGGTGTGATATATAATAATTGTAATATAAAGATGTTAAGGATAAATTTTACAAAAACATCTTTCATGTAGATAACTTAAAAATTAACATATTTTGATAAATTTCAATCATATTATTAATTTATTAAAACATTTAAATCTTAATTACTTGAACAATTCATTAAGTTATTGAAATCTTGATTAATTGAGCAATTGAACTATAAGGTCAATCCGTTGACAATTATAATTAATCGTCAATATTATAGATCAAGATGTGTTTTTTTTTAAATGCCTTATTAAAATCAATATATTCCTAACATTAATTTCAATTATGTATTTTCCCTAACATTTTAGGTTTTTTAAAAATATTTTTCAATATCAATCAAATTACAACTAAAAAGTAAAAGGTTATCAAACCAATTTAAACGTTAAATATGGAGAAGAACAATATAATTAAATTTGATAAATTTAAAATGAAATCTTACATAAGTTTGGATGTTTTACCATCCAATTATAATAAAGAAGGAAAATAATTCTCATTAAAGAGTAATTTTTAATGAATAAAAGTTTATCCATAATGAATGGTTTGAAGATATGTTTATATAAAAGTTTAAATCTATTCTACTGGCCAAAAATTATGTAACAATTTTTTTAACTTAATTTTAAGAATTATATTATTCTCAAATCAAAGATAATGAAATTCTTTGAACAAATTTTTATAATATTACCTATCAAATGTGATATAATTTTACTAATTTTATCTCATATTTTCAATATATCATTAAAATTGTTTTATTTATTGACAATGATAAAATGAAAGATAGAATATATATATATATATATATATATATATATATATATATTAAATAATGATAACTCAAAAGTTTAAAATATATATTTAATAATGATGGTTGGTGATAGATTAAGATGCCGTAAAGGATAAAATCTCAGATTGATCAGCATTTGGAAATTTCTGAGTCACAATTTTTTTATCTAATAACTTATTATATTTCTCAAAAATTTTGGTATTAATTCATTGAGACAAAACTTTTTGACATTCTAATTGCACATCACTTAACTTCTCAGTTAATTACTAAATCAATTTTTATTTAATTATCAAATCAAATTTTATTTTTATTATTTATATCTAAAAGTATCTAATAAACTCCTTATACTATTCTTTAGATTCAAATATAATAAAATTAAACAATTTTATATTATTTAAGAAAATTAGTAATATCATTTCATTTTACTAATCTCAATTTAAAAATAACTTATATATATATATATATATATATATATATATATATATATATATATATATATATAATGCATGTATTTGGACCAATACAAAAGTCACGGCCTATTCAATTGTGAGTACATACTCAACTCAATTCATTTGCATATATATATATATATATATATATATATATATATATATATATATATATATATATATATATATATATATATATATATATATATATATATATATATATATATATATATATATATTTATTTATTTATTTAGTGTCAGGACATACTCAACTCAAATCATTTGTATATATATATTCTAATATTCTAAAAGCATCATCAATCTTTAATGAAAAATAAAAAATAATTCTAAATTGAAATAATAATTATTTTAAGTTATAATAAAATTATTTGAAAATCAATTTAAACAAATGATTATTTACTTTAATTTTAATTGCGAGATCACTTATTATTATTATTATTATTATTATTATTATATAGCATGGTTATGAGTTTTTTTTTCTTTTAAAATGATTGTGAATGCATAATTCTTCTTTAAACTAACCTACAAATAAGATATAACTTTAAAAAAATAAAAAAGCGTGAATGTGAACAAACGTGCAAGTTCATCCTTTTCCCCTAGTTTTAAACATGCCTGTCATATATATATATATATCATGCAAGTATACTGAAACACAAAATAGATATAAACTAATCCGTTTAACCACATGTATGAAGGAATAGTCACATGCTCATTCTCATCTTAATTTTCAAGATACTTGTCATTGGTCAATTAACCTTTGTTATAAAATACAAATAAAATAAATTATTTGCACATCAATCAATATGTGTGGTTAAAATAGATGCTGACTGTAGCCAATATCAATGTGAAGGCTTAAGAGTCACACTGCAAGGAACACTGTATGAACACAAAACATGAAAGTTGAATTCAAATATTTGGATGCGCAACTTGTTTTAGTCGTCGACATAAAAGAGAACACAAGCACAAGTATTTGACAAATCCATTTGAAGCAATAGGCGTGTCACACCAGATTCTGCTTCCTTTGAGCCACTTCTCTATCTATATATCTCTTCCTTTTTCAGGGTAACTTGCAGTATTCTACCAAGAATGTAAGCTCTTCCCCCCTTCAATATTTTCTTCATCTTTTTCACTACAGGTAAGGTAGATGCTATGCTAAGTCCCTTCACTTATTTTTTTCTCTATATTCTCCACCATCTTTTTGTATGTCATGAATTTAGTGACCCCCTACTACTTCTGCATATATGGAAACAATAACTGCATGTTTAAATGTCATGAATTAGAAAGTACTTTTAAGTTTTACCTTAAGTAGTAAATTCTTCTTTTATCATTTTTTGAAAAACAAAGAATGTGTATTCAAAATTCTAAAAACATGTTCCCAGATTTTATCCAAATATAGTCTAAATCGTTGGTCCCTCTTCATCTATCATCATTTGAAAGATGAAACTAAAAGGTGGCTGCAAGTTGTCAAATTTCAAGGCATTATTAGTTGCAATGTCTGCGCAGAGCGTGAATTATTATATTGTAGATGTGGTGGAGTGCTCATAATGATCACAAAATAAATACAACACATGCTTATTATTATAAATAATGGTGTTGTTAGAAGTACTTAACCATTGATTGCTAATACCTGTAATGAATAAGATATTATTGGTTTGAAAACATGCGTTAGATTTTTTTAATTATCAATATATTAAATTAGTCTATTTTTACTCAAAAAAAAATTGTAGGTGGTATCTGGGGTGTCTTCGTATATAAAGTTTATCTTCAAGACGTCAAATAGATTATATATACACATTGAAGCCTTGAAGTAATCCTTGAGGTATTGAATCTAATTTCCAGATTGAAGAGAAACATCCACGGCAGACATGGTCAACAGTGAGGTTTCAACACGTCTTGAGGTTTGTGCCTGAATCTATCTATTACTACTACTTCAACACAGAAAAGCCAAGTGAATTAATTATTAACTTTTATTGTTTGACATGTTGAATAGGGAAAATATGCTGCAATAGTGGTTTGTTGGCTTCTTGGCAATGGATGTCTTTTTTCATGGAATAGTATGCTGACAATAGAAGATTACTACAGTTACTTGTTTCCAGTGAGTGATGTATAGTTTTATGCTTCATTTTCTGACCTCATATTGAAATATTCTAGTTGTTTTATGACAGAATGGTCTTACATAGGTTAGTCTTACATAGGTTAGAAATAAATTATTTTGTTATTCTTCTTGTGCAGAAATATCATCCCCCTAGGGTGCTTACTCTTGCATATCAGCCATTTGCTGTTGGAACACTCGCGATACTAACGTATAATGAGGCAAAACTCAATACACGAATTCGGAATATGTTTGGATATATACTTTTTTTCATAAGCACGTTGTTGGTGTTAATCGTAAGTCCTATTCCTTAGTTTGTGAACTTGGATTAATTCCTCTAGGATTGTGTTGAGTTGATTTTCCTACCAATCTGCCATAGGTGAATTCAGCAACATCAGGTATAGGAGGGCTTGGAAGATTTATTGGTATATGTGCACTTAGTGGCGCTTTCGGTGTAGCAGATGCTCATGTCCAAGGTGGAATGGTTGGAGACCTGTCCTACATGCACCCAGATTTCATTCAGGTCAGCATCAGTGATATAATTATTATGAAGTTATTAAAGATTTCTAAGGCTCATGAATGTCCTTACTAAGTTTTTTTTTTTGTTACAGTCATTTCTTGCTGGTTTGGCAGCATCTGGTGCATTAACCTCTGCTTTGAGGTTAATTACAAAAGCAGCATTTGATAATTCTAATGACGGTCTCCGCAAAGGAGCAAGTAAGTTCAACTTTCGAATACCTGAGAAAATCAATTGTTTTGTTTCTTTTTTCATTCCAAATTGATTATTGAAGATTGATAGTTATTTTATCTGCAACATAAATGAAATAGCAAAATGATTCCTTTTTTTCAGTTAGATAACAGTTCCCTCGGTCCTCTGTCATTGCTTTTAAGGGGAGATTGTTATTAGATACAATTGGTTAAGTAGTGTTGGCTATTTCACATTGTAACAAAGTCAAGTAAATGGCTTGATGTAATAATCTTCAATTAGTTCCAATTCCACTAATTCTCTCACTCTCTTTTCTCTTGAGTTCTACCAGTGTTTTATAAAATTTGTTGTACGAAATATTTAGTACCACTCACAATATAATATGACATATGAATTTGAAGTTACCTCGTTGATTAGACCAGCAATGCAATTTCTTCTTTAAACTCCTCGAAGTTCAGTGATGGTGGTTGAATTCATGTTTGTTGTCATTGAACATCTACAATTATGATCATTGTCCTCACCCCTTTGGTTACTGATCCCTTGTCATCTTAATGTCCATGCAGTTCTTTTCTTTGCCATATCAACATTCTTTGAGTTCCTATGTGTTCTTCTCTATGCATTTATTTTCCCTAAACTACCAATTGTGAAGTACTACCGTTCAAAGGCAGCATTAGAAGGATCCAAAACTGTATCAGCTGACCTTGCAGCTGGTGGCATCCGGACATTACCTGGAACAGTACTGTTTCTTTCATCCTTTTTACTTATCAATGCATCAAAACTTTTTCTTTGTTAAAAGTTCAGCTTATGCATTAAGGATTTATGTTTTTCAGGACAAGGAAAATACAAAAGATCCAGAGCGGAAGGGAAACAAGCAATTGTTAATAGAAAACATTGATTATGCACTTGATATGTTCCTAATTTATGTGCTAACACTGTCTATTTTTCCTGGATTCCTCGCAGAAGACACTGGATCACATAGTTTGGGCACCTGGTATGTTCATTACAAGATAGTTTGTCATTATGACTAGACACTAAACAATAGACCAAGATATGTATTCTGTGGTTATATATCACCGAACGTAATGTAACAATTCATGTCTGACTATTTCAGGTATGCTCTCGTATTAATTACGATGTATAATGTGTGGGATCTGATAGGAAGATACATTCCACTCTTGAAATGCTTGAAGTTGGAGTCCCGAAAGTTTATCACAATAGCTATTCTTAGCCGTTTCTTACTTGTTCCAGCATTTTATTTCACTGCAAAGTATGGTGACCAAGGCTGGATGATAATGTTAACATCCTTCTTGGGGGTATCCAATGGTTATCTCACTGTCTGTGTTCTAACATCTGCACCCAAAGGTTACAAGGTGAGTCTGCTGAGTGTTAAATTCAGCCAGAAGACTTTGGTGTTCAGATTTCAAGTAGAGAGACATTAACATTTGTGTTGAATTTTTGCAGGGTCCAGAGCAAAATGCCTTGGGAAACCTACTGGTGCTGTTTCTTCTTGGAGGTATTTTTGCAGGAGTAACACTTGACTGGCTGTGGCTAATAGGTAAAGGGTGGTGAGATGGTGAGATCTCATTTATGTCAGATTGGAGGAATGGTTGTGGAGAGTTCATTCCTTGTAAAACATTATGAGTGTTTATAGCCTTCTTCTTCTTCTTTTCTTTTATACTTTGAACTGATTAATTGGTTAATTAATTTCGGTGTTTGATTCATTGTAAACTAGTAATCACACCGGCATAATTAATTGAATGTCAGCTTCGGCCAAACCATTAAATGCCGCAATTCTTCCAATCGTAGTCTTATTATATCCTTTCATCTTAAACTCCATTTTTTTAAGCTGATATTATTTTACTTACTCTTTCACTTTCTTGTTAATCACTTCATACTAATTTATACCTGAAAGGAATGTGAAAAATAATCCCTAGTACTAGTATAAAACATAATAACTAAATAATGTTACAATAAAAAGTGGAAAACGACTAATAAAAGAACAAATATGTACAAAAGAATTAATAGGTCAATAGAGTCCAAAATTTACAGTGAGAAAAGACAAAACATTGGTTGCATATTTTTGTCTGATAGCTTCACGTGACATCCCAGATAGACATTACAAACAAAACCGGAGAAAGAAAGGTCTAATAGGACCCTCTCATCTCGCAATCAACGAATGGACCCTTCAATCACAAAAAAACCAGACCATCACGGGCATAATCCAAAATATCCTCAATGGCGTAGATGAACCCTGGTTCGTCTCAAGTTGCAGGGAATCAACGGCCAAGGGCATGTTCTCCTGGTCCGGACTACACTTGGATTCGTGTGGATGCGCACTGTACATCACTGCACGCAACACCGCCGAAACGGTCGGAATGTACGCCGTTTTGTTCCTTCCTAGGAGCCACGTGAGTGCCATCAGTTGACAGTCCCGGTTGAAGATCTTCTTCGCTCTCTCACTCTCACTCTCCTTCTTATTCCCTTTTATCTGCCTCAAAATAAAACCAAACTTAGAAAGACTTACCGACAACTAAACATTGGGTGAACCTAATTCTACAGAATGCAAAAGTTAACACTTAATGTTGTATTGTAGGTGGCCATCACATGAACCTAGACTGTACGTTGCAAGCACATGGCAATGTCATTTTCGCAGGTCAACCCAAAATTAATTAGAATTTCAGATGAAAATAAATAAATAAATAAATTCAACGTTGCATTATGAACGATAAAATATGAAGTGATCTTAATCTTTATAAAGAGAGAAAATGAAAAAGATGTAACCTTTTGTAGGGCGCTGAGGCATTGCGTGCAGCCAGCATAAGAAGCATTACGGCAATTATTTTCCAAGTTCCGTACGACGGCGGTGGGGGTGGCGTTGTGGGTGCCGGAGACGTTTCGAACCGCGGTTACGTTGAACGCGTTGGGGCAACTGAGGGAGGTTATCTGGTGGAGTCTGATGCCGCAGAAGCAGAGAATGGCGTCGCAGGTGGCGTTGGGTTGTGGAATTCGGATGCTCCGATTTCTTAGTGAGTCTTGGAGTGAGTTAACGCACTTCTGAGAGTCGTCGGGCATCATAGGGAGGTCGCCGGAGGGAGGCGGCGCGGCGGCGGATACTTCGAGGGCGGTTCGGGCGTGGGCGGCGAAGAGCCAGGCGGCGAGGACTGGACAGCAGCGGCTGCGGTCGAGGGTGGTCCCGCAGGCGTCGTTGACGCCGCCGAAGAGCTCGTTGGAGAGGTCGAGGCGGCAGATTTGGGACTGGGTTTGGGTCGGGTATGCGGGGACGGTGTTGGAGGAAGGTGCGTCGCCAAGGTCCTGAGGTTGCGGAGCTGTGAGCGATATTGACGCAAAGAAAGCGAGGCATGCCACGAAGGCAGTTATGAATGATTGCATTTTCTTTGGCTTTTGAGGATCGGAAGTTCTTGTGTGCTGGTTGGTTGGCTTTGGTGTCTTAGAAAGTGGCAACGTTGCAGTGGGAAGTGGAAATGGTGTGTGAGGAAAAAGGGGTTGGACAAGAAAGGTGTAACACTGTTTGGGCTATAATTTAATTTTAATGTATAAAAGATGAGATAGAACGAAATGAAAGATAATTTTAACACAAAAAGAGGGATATCATAAAAAAAAAATGTATAAAAATTATGGGTGTCAAAAGGTAGCATCCTCCATTTTGGTCCTAGTCAACACAATTTGTTTAATATATATTTAAAAAAAAAAATACACTTAATTCTACTTTTTATTAGTAGATATTAGGGATAACAAAAATATATACCATAAATAATCATGGATAAAATCCATTTCATGAAAATTAGGGATAGAAAAAAATATCACCATATATATTCAAGGGTAAAGTCCATCTCACGAAATTAGGGATAAAAAAAATATACCCATGACAAAGCTTATAATTTTATTTAAGAGTTAATTACAAGTATTAACATTATATTGCATCACGGTTATCTTTAATTTTATTTACAAAGCTTATAATTGTTTCGTAACAACATGAGGTTGAATTGGAATAAATTTGTTTTCACCTAACATAACATCATGGATTTCAAAATAAAACTTTCTTATCCTTAATGAACTTATGTCATAATGCACAGGACTCTCTTGATGAAAAGAAAAAATTTTTTACTTGAGGCATTAAACTTTGTCTTCGTCTAAGTACCCAAACACTTCAACTTCCTTCAAGTCATGGCTAAGGCATTCCTCAACCATTTATTATCTCCCTCTTAGTTTCTTAAAGTTAAAGTTGGAAGTTCTTGATGTTAGTCTTTTATTATCTCCCTCTTAGTTCTTTAAAGTTGGAACTTCATGATGTTAGTCTTTACTTAATGTGAAAGTTTTAAGTAAAATCTTATTATATGGGGTCTAATTGAACCATTACGTGGTTTTTATTATTTAGTTCGGTTAATTAATCTAACTAATTTTTATTAATATTGTGTCTCATAATTATTTCATAATTTAGTTATATAATTTAGTTTTTATATTAAGTATAATTTATATTCAATATACATCTTTCTCCTTATACTCTCTCTGTAATTATTTTGGACCATCCTTTATTAATATTTGTATCAGAGTTTCAAGATCCGGTAAGAAAAAGAAGAAGAAGATAATGACAATGACAGGAACTGGGTTACATGATAACATGTAAATGCTCGATAACAAGAACCTAAATGAATACGATAGTTAGTATGTGAAGATGAAAACCATTTTTTATTTTCAAGAAGTCTTGAACGTAGTTCTGAATGGATATGAGAGACTACCAGAGAATCTCATCGAGACATAGTATGCGACGTTTTGAGAAAACAAAGTTATGTTATACATTCATCAGTATATTGATGAAAACAACTTTGAGAAGATTTTGTTGGAAAACTCGACGAAAGAGGCTTAAGATATATTAGCACACTGTTACGCAAGTGGAGAGAGGTTGAAGGTGATGCGACTTCAAACCTTGCATCGTCAATATGTGTTGTTGCACATGGAGATGCAAGAAACCATCCTAGAATACTTTATAAGATTATTGTCGATCACAAATTTGATAAAGTCATGTGATGAAAGCTTGAAAGAAAGTGCGATAATGGAGAAAGTATTGAGCACCCTCGATGCTAAGTTCGACATAATTTTTGTAGCTATCGAAGAGTTTAATGATCTCGATTTATTGAAACTTGATGAACTACAAGAGTCATTGGAGACTCACGAACAATGATTACGTGAGAGAGCGGAAGAGAAGTCAACGCAAAACAAGCATGGTTGATGAAATAAAACCAGAAGAATGATGAGAATCGAGAAAAATCAAACAAGATAATGATCAAAAGAAGAGATGACAAATCTACAATAATTTTGGATGTGCTCTATGTTCCAGTCATAAAGCATAATTTGTTGAGTATTTGTCAACTTCTTCTAAAAGGACATTTAATCGATTAGAGATTGAAGGAGCAAATGTTGAGAATCATCGATAAGAACAAAACACTGATTTTGAAGACACCTCTAAGTAAAAATAACATTTTTTGAGTTGATATTCCAATATTGATTATTAGACCGCCTCGAGTCCAAAAGTGTAAAGACATATGTGAAAGTTATATGACAATGAAACAAGCTAGAAACCCCTTTAAGGTGTGCATCAAGATCAAAAGCAAGGATGCATTTTTAAGTTATCTACATCGATGCATGTGAACCCTTTGATGTTCCTTCACTAGGTGGAAATAAGTATTTTATGACGTGCATCGATGATTATACCTAGAAGATGTGGGTGTACTTGCTCGAAAAGAAGTCAAAGATGTTTAGTCACTTTGTCGATTTTAAATCAATGGTTGAGAAACAAAGTGGTATAACTATCAAAGTATTAAGATCAGAAGATGGTGGTTATGCATGAGATAGTACCCTTGTACACACCACAAAATAATGAAGTTGCGAAAAGAAGAAATCGAACGATTTTAAATATGGTTAGAAGTATGTTGAAGGCCAAAGGTTTTCCACATTCGTTTTGGGGAGAAACGGTATCGATAACTATATACATCTTGAATCGATGTCCAACAAAGAGAGTGAAAGAGAAAACACTAGAGGAAGTATGATCTAGGAGACAACCAAATATAAAACACTTGAGAATATTTGGCTCTATTGTATAGAGACATTTTCTAGAGGAGAGAAGGAAGAAGCTTGATGGCAGAAGTCAAAAGTTAATTTTGGTAGAATATCATTCAACTGATGCATATAAGTTGTATGATCCTATCAAGACGAAGATCATCGTCAACAGAGATGTTGTTATTGATGAGAAGGATTGTTGGAAATGAGTTTTGATGAGGAAAATCGAAGTGTTAGCTTCAATGAAAATCAACGTATTAGCTTCGATGATTTAGGTGATACAAAAATCAGAGGCAAAGGTCGTTCATTTTCTGAAATCAAAGGAGGAGGAAATTGATCAAGTTCAAAAATTGATGGTATAAAAAATCAATCGATTTCTGAAATTGAAGAAGACATAAATCTACCGATTTCAAGAACTGAAGGAAGGAGAAATCGATTGACAAGATTGATTAGAACACCAGTAAGACTTAATGATTATGTGATCAATACTGATGATATTGTCACAGTAACTGGACAAATGATTGGAGAAATAGAAAACGAAAATGATTTTGTACACCTAGCATTATATGTTGATGCTGAGATTGAACTAGTTTGCTTTGAAGAAGCGATCGAGGATCCCAAGTGGATCAAAGCGATGAAAGAGGAGTTGTTGTCAATAAAAAAAGAATAAAACATGAGAATTAACTTATCTCCCTAAGAATCAAAGACCAATTAAGATAAAATAATTGCAAGATATAAAGTCAGACTTATGACGAAAGACTTTCTACAGAGAGAAAGATTATGATACAAAGAAGTGTATGCACTTGTTGTCAGGATAGAGACGATAAGAACAATTGTACCTCTCGCTAGTTATAAAGAGAAGCACATACATCAAATAAATGTAAAATCTGCATTTTTGAATGATGAATTGGAGGAAGAAGTTTATGTTACACGACCACTAGGTTTTGTGATCTTCAGAGAGGAACAAAAGGTTCTTAGATTGAAGAAGATACTTATGGTCTGAAATAAGCTTTGTGAGCCCTAAAACACTAAAATCAATTATTGTCTTCGACAACAAGATTTTTTGAAGTGTAAGATCGAGTATGAGATTTACTAAAAAATTGAAGGTGATGGTATATTGATTGTTTGTCTATATGTTGATGATATGTTGAGTATTGACAGTAAAATTACTTTGATCAAGAGTTTTAAAAGAAGGATAAAGATCAATTTGGGATGACCGATCTAGGGAAGTTGTCATATTTTATGGGAATGGAGTTTATCAAAGGCAGAGAATGTATTTTGATTCACCGAAGTAAATATACCAAAGATGTGCTTAAGAAAATTAGAATGAATGAGTGTAATGCAACAATTACATCAGTTGAGACAAATTTGAAGCTTGACAAGGATGAAGATTGAAAACCTGTAAATGTTATTGTTTACAAATAGAATGTTAACTGCTTAAGGTACTTGTGTTGTAGTAGGCCGGATATTTGTTTTGGTGTTGGGTTGCTGAGTAGATTTATGGAAAAATCCAAAGCTTCTCATCTTGCAACAACTAAGAGAGTTCTAAGGTATATTAAAGAGACGATTGATTTTGGTATTCTATTACCAAATATTATATATTAGAGTGGAGGATAATTGATCGGATATTTTGATTTTGACTCAACTGGTGATAAAGTTGGGTTCATAAGCACATTAAACTATGTATTTCTATTGGGAAAACTATCGATTTCATAGTGTTCAAAGTTACAACCACTATAAGAAAAATTGGATTTTTCGACGGACAAAATTCATCGGTAACTAAGAAAATCCGTCGGTAAATACATATTACTGACGGTTTATCGACGGGCAGAAATCTGTCGAAAATTGTGTTGTCGATAAATATTACTAATGGATTTGAAAAGTCTGTCTGAACTTGCACATTTTTATTTATTTATAATCTCTCTATTTATCTAATTTAGAATCGGAAGTTGATTCTAGTGGTTACTAGGATTTTCTAATAAAAACTTACAAATAAATTATATTTATATACAAATAAATATATATCCGTATAAATATATAAATATAAAATATATTTATATATTTGGATATATTTATATATATATATATATATATATATATATATATATATATATATATATATATTTATATGTTGGATGCGAATAAGGGTGAAAATGTGTGTTGAGTAGGTTTTCAAATATTTATATATTTTGATATTTTGATATATTTATCTTTTTTTTCTTATATTACTTAATTAAAATTATTATATTAAAATAATTTTTTCAATATTAAAAATACTTAAATATTTATTCTAAAATTATTTTTAAAAAAATTTT